ATCCTCCTGCCTCAGCCTCCTGAGTGCTGGGGTTACAGATATGTGCCAGCACTCCCGGCTTGAATTCTTTAAATGCTGAATGAAAATATAAATACTATTGCTCTTGAAGCTATATTTTTGGCATGCTTTTACATTTTGCTCCCAGGGTCAGTGGCACACTCCCCCATAGTAGACTGAGGTTCCTGGAGAGGACCTGGAGGGAGAGAAGGGTGAATGCCCCGCCATGCTGGTCAGAAAGGAGGGCTCAGTGTGTTCCTGGCAGCTTTGGTAACTTGCCTGCCAATGGTGAGCTGCCTAAACAGGAGTTTTGATCGAAGTCTCCTGGTTGTGAGGCTACCCCTAAACCCTCTTGGGAGAAGTGTTTCCAGGGCTTCCTCTGTGCCTTGCTAGGGCCAGTTCTCTGTTTGAAGCCTGGCTCGGAGCCTCAGAACCACCCCAACAAGAGAAGCACCCAAGTACTCCTTGCCGGTCCCCTTTCTCACCTGTCTTGATTTTTTTTTTTTTTTGGCACTGGGAATCGAACTCAGGACCTTGTGCTTGCCAGGCAGGCGCTTGTGCCGCTGAGCTATATCCCCGGCCCCCGACCTGTCCTGATTTGATTTACCCTCTGGGAGTAGGCCAGGACTGTGGGCGTCTAGGTCTGTGGCTTTGGTGTCAGTGGCTACCATCAAGCCCAGGGCCTTCTGTCACTAGACTTAGTGTTCTGCTCAGGCGGTGACTGCGTGAATAATCACTCACCCAACCTGCTCCTCACCTGCTCTCTTCCAAACACTCGGCATGTGCACCAGCACATGTGCGCTGGACAGAAAGGAGGTCGCCTTTCCTCACGTGTGCCTGTGTGTGTCCTGCTGATCAGACTTGCCGGTTTCTTGCCATTGCATCAAGCTCTCTCATTGTTTGAAGTTGATTTGGAACAACGTCGTGGTGTGCAGCATCACACCTGGCTTTGTTTACAACAGTGTGTGTGGCGTGTTAACAATTTGTTTGCTATTTTTTATTTGTTTGGTTGTTTTTTGAGACAGAATCTTGCTATCTATTCAGGCTGGACCTGAACACTCTAGGTAGTCCAGGCTGGGCTCAAACTCACAGTGACCCTCCTGCCTCAGCAACCCCCCCTCCCGCCCCAGTCCTGGGATAACAGCTGTGCGTTATCACAC